TAGTGTCACAAGCTTTTGCTGGCACGCCTACTATCGCCTCATTGAGTAGGCCCCTAAAAATCAAGATTCTTGACCTGAATGGGAGATTAACTTGATACTAATGAACCCAAGTACTTCTCATAGTCAAGCCTTTGCTTCCATGACCACGTCTATGATCAAACATGTCTACTGTTAACCAACTAGCTCTTATCTCCGCCGCATCTATCGTGTTTCTCTCCATTGTGCCAAGTCAATGACTTCCTGTGCCCTAGTCTCTTGTGTGCCAACCCACAAATGTTGTGGTTCTACTTGTTTTGATTAGGCTCACTCTAGACGCCTCTTGGCTTATAATTGTTCTTTTCTGGCCTCCTTGCGATTTATTTTCTTAAAAGTAAAGATGTTATCTTGATCCAGTCCTATTTTTGCTGATCTTACTTTTGCCTGGTCTTCTCCAAGTTTGTTTAGGCAATACGCAAGGTTTTCGCTCATCCTGCCTTCTCCCTTTCATTAAATTTATCTCGGTCAGTATATTAATGGCCTCTTATTTGTGTGGGTTATTGTATGCTTTAGCACTGGGATAGCTTTCGAAGCCCAGGTTTCTGCAAGTTTTGACGTTATTTTTTGAGGTATTTAAAATTTTAATTACTCTGTTGCTTTAATCTAACTTACCTAGATCTTAATAAGTATTCCTGTTTTGCAATCGCCTTATATTGCACATTATAAAATAAATACTATTTAGTGTTAACTTTTGTCATGTGCTTAGAAAATTTTGATAGATTTCACTTTCCTCTAGTGTAATTTTGCAGTCTTTATCTCTGTCTCTTAACGATAAATATCTTAGGATTTCATTTGGTTTTAGATAATTTCAAATATTCGAAATGGGATGGATGTTGACAAATGGGATTACCTCTTACGTGACAGCCTTTATGCGGGTTTAGGCCACGGCTCCGGGATCCTAGAACTTGAAAGATTCCTCCTATTCTATCGACCAGCTCCGTTTTATGAGTCTTCCTTTGAAAATACCGACTCAGCTGACACCGGCTCCTTGAACAAACGAATAGATCAATCTTTATGTAGCCCATTATCTCTCGATGAACCAGAGATATCATATGTTCCTCCTTGTGACCGAAACCACTATTCTGAAGCCTTTAATTTTAGATCACTTAACATCCCCACTTATTGTTCTCCTCAAGTCATGCGGAAAGAATACAAAAGGATTAGATCACTCTCTAACCTTCCTGCTCCAAGTTTTGCTACCGAAGAAGCAAGGGCACCAGAGGTGATTTGGCATATGTCAATCCTTGCGAGTGAGCTGGAGAATGTACAGCGCATGTTCAGCCTGCGACTACACTTGCATCGCCGTCTCTATCAGCACAAAGCCGTTGTGTCTATTCAGGTATCCATATTTTAATCTTGTTAGTTAACTAAGTTATTTATACATAGACAATGGCGAAGCAATTTTATATCAGAGTGCCAATTATTCCTTCACCACAATTCTCTTTACCAATCAAGGCCCAGAGCGATAGGAATATGATTATATTATTCCGCTACCTTAACCAAACATGAAAGTGTATAAAAATAATAAGCGATTCTAAGAGCTCTGAAAAAAATAGGATAACGAATTATATGAATGTATTCTAAGATATTTCTGTCATAATCAGACATTCTTATACAAGAGCCATTACTATCATAGTGACTTTATAATTAAGACATTCTGCGAATGTTGGAATCGCAGGCAAAACTTTTGGAGCAAACAAGAAACTTATTCGTCTCTATTTATAGATTTTTTCGTGAGTAAGTCATTATTGACATACTTCATGGTAAAAGTTAGTTTTTTTATAGATTGACTATAGCAGATAAATCTTCACGGACGATACTATGAGTTTTTCATCTCATATTGACCAGGATACTTGATAATTTATCCTCTCTAATCATCTAATAGTGTTTAGAGCAAAACCATAATTTTGTCACTAACTTAAATTATGTGTAGATGTTGTTTGACCTTGTTTTCGCAACATGGTTATATTGGTAGAAAGACTTAGAGGAACGCACCTAGTCCGGAGTCCATTGTTTGCATGATAATTTCCAAAGTTAACCATGGACGTGGTACATTCTAAACGTTTCGCTGGCATCGTCAGTGAGTATCGCAATTCCAAGCACCATACAACAACTCATCAAAGAGACAAGTGAAGCCCATCCTTTGACCAAACGTGTGCTCAGCAATTGTGGTATCTCCTCTTCTGCCCCGGGTTATTCGCGTTTCCGTTAGCATCCTATCATACCTTCACTATTACAATTTTTCCGTGTGTATTTAGATATAGTGTGGTGTTCTCCCTTGAGCGAAATGAAACCTTTACACTCCAATTGTCGTTCTCACCTACCCTTCATCCTTGTGCAGGAAATGTTGATCAGAGTTTGCTTTATTGTTGTGTATTCCTCTTTCCTAGTCTTATCCCAGTCTCTCTCTTGCTCCGTAAAATCCGTCTGCTCTACCACCTTCTTCACCTATTTCACCCGACTCCTGCCACCACATCTATCCTACTCGATGCGTTATTCGCCGGTACAACAGACCTACCGTTAGCCAACTAGCTCCGGTCCCCGCCGTCTCTATCCTGTTTCTATCCGTAATGCCAAGTCTATGATTTGCCATGCCCTAGTCTCTTAAGTGCCAACTTACAAATGTTGTGATACAGCTTGTTTTGATTTGGTTCAATGTTTAACCACAATATTTGTTGGTTGGCACACAAGAGACTAGGGCATAGTAAGTAATAGGCTTGGTATTATAGATAGAAAGAGGATAGAAACAGTGAAAGCTGAAGCTGGTTGCCTAACAAGAGTCATGCTTCAAGGATCACGTTTAAGATCAAATATGTCTATTGTTATATTCGTATTAGAGTAGGGTTTCGAGACTACCAGTAAATCAGTGTAATGAGATGTATTTACCCTATTCGTCTAAGGTAGGGAAAGGACTGGTAGTAGAATTTTTCCACAATGATATGAGTTGAGCTGAAGTTTCCCTTGAATTTCGCATAGCCTTGCTTTTCCAAAAGTTGTTCTAATCCAGAGTGGACTGCAGTTTCGACCTCGCATCGGTCTTATCAACACCCTCAGCGGGAGTTGAACCGCGACAATGCAGGACGGTAGATTGACACGCTAACCACTCGGCTATATTGCCACGAGTCACAGGGCATAAGTGAATTTCAGAAAAGGTCAGGTCTCTTTGCTATATCATATTCTTTTGGTGGGAGTGCCGATGAAGCAAACGTATGTTTGCTATAGCAA